TGGCCGGCAGCTACGCGGAGCTGGGGGACTGGTGCGCTCGGAGGATTCTGCGGCACGTGCAGGTGGGGGCAGGGCAGCAGGCGGACGGCGGCCGCCAGACAGGGCCTGGGGAGCTTGGGGGGCAGGGCGACCCCCTACGCCCCACCCCCGGGGCGCCTCCTCCGCCCGCACCCGCCCCCGGAGCCGGGCCCCGATGGCTCCCTTTACAGATGGGGGAGATGGGGCGAGGTGCGGCCCAGAACCCTCGGGAAGGGAAGGAGGGTCCCGGGGGAGCCGGGGTGGGTGCCAGAGCCCCAGGCACGTCAGGGAGCAGGAAGCCTGGCCAGACTCAACTTCGTCCCAGGCCTCTGCACAGCCCAGTCCCCCCGGTCTCAGCCTCCGCTCAGTGCCTTACCCTCCCCACATCAGGGGCCCAGGCCCAAAGCAAGGGTTAGGACAGGTCCAGACCCTTGGGAGTGAATCGGCTCCTCCTCCAAAGCCCCTCTGAGCGAGGCCACCCAAGCCTGCAGATCAGGAGGGAGGGGGGTGGGAGGGCGCGTCTTTCTTGTTGGATGATGGGGCGGGGGGCAGGGGGTGCTGAAGGCCAAGCTACCTTCTACTCCCCCCTCGGCAGAGGGGTGGGCAGGCTGTGCTGGAGAACGTGTCAGAGGATGGCGAGGGGCTTTCTGGCTGCCTGGGGAGACACCAGAACCCAGGTGAGGGGCAGGGTGGGCTGGGGGGCGGCCCGGGAGGAGGGGGGCGCTCAGCCTTGGCTCTGGACTCCAGATGCGGGGAGTGCCCTCCTCCCTCCGCCCTCAGCGCGCCGAGGACCAGGCAGGGGAGGAGGGACGGGCCTCCCACGCTGGCGTGTCAGCAGCAGGAGGGTGGCTCTGGGGCAGACCGGCAGGGCTGGGGGGCTCAAAGCAGGCCCCACAGTGGGGCAGAGAGGAAGGGAGTCAGCGGTCAGCACAGCGCTTGAGACCCCCGCCTGGGGGAGGACACGCGGCCTGCCTTACCCGAGCCCTCACCAGGCCACGCGCTGGAAGCTGGCTGGTTCCTGCTCCGTCACGCCACCCGGAGAGGTGACCCCAAACTTCGAGCCCACGTTATCGACAAGTTCCTATTGCTGCCCTTCCGCTCTGGATGGGATCCCGACCATGGAGGCCTCTTCTACTTCCAGGATGCTGACGGCCTGTGCCCCACCCAGGTGGGAATGTACCCAGGGCTACGTGGTTACTAGCCTGTCGAAGGCTTTCTGCCCAGGGTGGTGCGTGCTGTCACCACCCATTTCAGAGAAGGGGGACCCGGGGCTCGGAGGAGTGAACCTGCCCAGTGTGACCCCAGTGGGAAGCTCGACTCCTGTGCTGGTGGCCCTCAAGCTCACATGCACAGGGAGGCCGTGAGGGAGCGCAGGCCATGCCCACGGGGAGACACATGGCCCTTCGTCTTGGAAAGGCTCTCTGAGTGACCCTGAGGCATCAGCAGTGGGAGCAGCCGGGGTTTCGATTCCAGGGCTCAAGGGGCACCCACCCCAGCCCTGCCCTTTGGGAGGGGCCACTTGGGCTACATCTGGCTCGGGAAGCTAGTCGCGATCTGATGGGCGGTTAAGGCCCCCAGAGACGTTCGTCCCGTGGTTAAGCTCCAAGAGCTTGGGCCAGATGGAGTCTGAGCCAGGGCCCGACAGATGGGGGTGACTCTCCTGCTGAGAGGGGTGGTGGAGTGGGGTCCAGGGCTCTCAGATGCCTGCCTCCGCTCTGCTCTCAGCTGGAGTGGGCCATGAAGCTCTGGTGGCCGCACAGCGAAGCCATGATCGCCTTCCTCATGGGCTACAGTGAGAGCGGGGACTCCGCCTTGCTGAACATCTTCCACCAGGTGGCCGAGTACACTTTCCGCCAGGTAAGTGCTGCTTCCTGGCCTCCGCGGCGCCGTGGAGGAGACCGCAGGCGCGGCACACCCCCTCCTTCCCCCCCTCGCCGGACGTGTTCCCTCAGTAGGTCTGAGAGTTCCTGGAAGTCCCGGCCGGGGCGCCCTCTGTTCAGTCAAGAGAGTGGCCCCTGCCCCACTGGAGCTCACATTTGGTGCTGGTGGGACCGACCACAGACAAGTAAACCAGCAAACATAGATGGTGATGAGAGCTCTGGGAAATAAAGCAAGGTCAGGGGGCTGGGCGGCTAGTGGGAAGGAAAAAAGCTGGGGCTTCAGGAGGGGAGGCCATAGGGCACTAGGCGAAGGCAGGGAGACCGGGCTGTGGCTGTCATCCTGGCTAGTGAGTGGGGGCCTGGCCCGGGGTGGGAGCTGCAGCGGCTCAGGGGTCAGAATGTGGTCGAGCGGGAGAGGTGTGGGCTGGCCACGTGAGGTAAGGTAAGCTTGGAGTACAGAAGTAAAGGAGACGAGGGAATAGGCAGGCCCAGCAAAGGAGACGAGAATCAGCTGCGAGGTAGGAAGGAAGCCAGCCGCCCCCGCCCCGCAGAGGCCCGAGTGCCGTGAGCAGAGTGATGAGCTGTGCCAGCTGCTGCCCACGGGCACCTCGGGTGCTGAGCCTGACGGGGAAGGAAGGAAGATTCCCGACGTGTTTCTAAAGCCACGACTCACTCCATTAGTAAACCCCCAGTACGGGAGGCATTACAACAGGGGGGTCTTATTCTGAGGTCTGTGGGCTTTGAAACCTGAGAGAAAATTCCATCTTTATTTGCACTAACCGCTAACTGAAATCCAGCATTCACGTCCATCATGAATGAAAGCAGTGAACCACAGTATTAGCAGTGTCCGACTTTGTCACCAGTAGAAATTCCAAATGTGTTCGTGTTATGCTGTGGTTAGAGAGGCATCTCCAAGCACTGCACACGCTCGTCACTGCTTCCAAACACGGGAGCCACAGGACCAGAGGCGATATACGTTAATATTGAAGGCATTCATAGAGAACATGTGTTCGAGGTGATCGTTCTTAACTGCATAAAGTGAAATTTAAGGAATACATTTTCAAGAAAGAGAGATTGTATTGAACAATCACAGAAGTTATAAACAACAGGTAATTCACTATGCGCTAATCGTCATAACAATACGGAAAGCAAAAATTCAGACGTCCATGGAAAGGCTGGACAGGAAAACCGTCAAATCCTTTGTTATCTTCCCGTGTCATATCCAGTAGTCGAATAATAAGTAAGGACATGAGTAATGCTGGAAAGATAGAATGAACAGATACAGAGCTAGTTTGCGCCCCCTACGAAGAATTTAAACAGCTACTCACAGGTCCCCATTTAAAAAGACATTTTTGGTAGTGGACTTCAAAGTCACTGATTTCTTCTATGGTCCTTCTGAGAAGGGGTTCCACTCAGGTCTCTATCTGGGGAGGAAGGGCCTAGGCCAGGGCTCTGAGGTCTATCCTGGAGCATCTGGAAGGAACTGGGCAGGAGAGAAGCGAGGAATTTGGAAAGGGTCAACAGAGCTGCTGGGCAGGGGCAGGCTTCAGGTGGCTCCGAGGGAGGGGGAGATGTGTTTGGGACCTGTGGTGAGCAAGGGAGAAGTCAGACCTCTGTACGGGATATCTACAATGGCTATCTACAATCTCATCCACTGCAAGACAGTCCTCTGAAGCAGGGAACAGGAGCTCCAAAGGAATAACTAGCTACAAAGTTACATGGCAGGTCAGCACTTCCTCAGGGTTCCGTTTCTTTTCACATTGTTTTTTAAAAATTATATTTATTTACTTTTGGCTGCGCTGGGTTTTCATTGCTGCGCGCGGGCTTCTCACTGCGGTTGGTAGCTTCTCTTGTTGCGGAGCACCGGGCTCTAGGTGCGCGGGCTTCGGTATTTGTGGCGCACGGGCTCTAGAGCGCAAGCTCAGTGGTCCCAAGCAGGGTTTTTGTTTTTGTTTTAAATTCCATCTTGCAAGGTTTCATCTCACAGCCTGCGGCCCCTTCCCCAAGTGGGGTAACTAGCTGCAGACTCAAAACTCCACCCCCCCCCCCGAAGGAAAAGGAAAAGGAAAAGCCCCTTGCTTTCATATTTGTCCAGGAGGCGGGACCTCATTTAAGAGCACTGATTCTGGAGCCGGGGGTCAGCCCGGGCTCTGACCCCGAGGTAGCGGTTTAGTGGGACCGGTGAACGCCCCTTTCCCAGGCCTGTGGCATCTGGGCGGTTCCTGCAGGCGCTGCCTGTCTCTGCCTCATTGTTATTGCAGTTTCGCGATCCCGAGTACGGGGAATGGTTTGGCTACCTGAACCGAGAAGGGAAGATCGCCCTCACCATCAAGGGGGGTCCTTTCAAAGGTGAGTGGGGGGAAAGGGCGGGGCCCAGGGACTCGAGGCACTCGGCTGCCCACGGCCCTCCCAACCCGCCGTCCCGCCTCTCCTCGCAGGCTGCTTCCACGTGCCGCGGTGCCTCGCCATGTGCGAGGAGATGCTGAGTGACCTGCTGAGCCGCCACGCCCCGGCCCCGGCCGCGGCCCCGGCCCTCAGCGCCCGGTCTCCGCCCGCCGACCCCGCCCGCCGAGGCGCAGAATAAAGCCAAGCCTGCTCCACTGCCCGTGTGTGTGAGCGTCTGTGGGGTGTCGGGTGGGGGACCAACCGCCGCCTTTGGCTGGAGGGCACCTGCTAGCCCTGCCAGTGACTCGCCCCGCGCGCTGGACCCTCCCACCCTGCCAACAGGCCCGGCCCGCG